TAGAGCAACGCCCAGCTGAGTATCCGGGCTCCTGTGGCCCAAACAAGTCGAACATAAAATTCACCGTCACACCTAGACTTTTTTGGCCCATGTCCCATGAGCGCAGACTCTGGGGTCCAGACTCAGGAGCAACCAATTTAATTGGGAGGTGATTCAGGAAGCAGGGACAGGTAATAGGAAGTGAGGCCGGGAAGTGATTATTTTTTATTTTTGTAAAGATTTATTTAGAGCATGAGTGCACGAGTGGGCGTTGGGCAAAGGGAGAAGGAAAGCGAGAATCCTAAGCAGACCCACCCCCACCACTGAGCATAGAGCCTGACTCCAGCTGATGTCATGACCCTGAGATCATGACCTGAGTGGAAACCAAGGATTGTGTGACTGACTGAGCCACCCTGGCGCCCCTGGAAAGTGCCGTTAAAGTGTTGATGCACAGACACCTCAATACTGGCCAATTTGTTTTGCTTTGATGTAAAGCAGAACTTGTGCTTATAATGATTTGCAATAATGTTTATACTGATTAATTTTAATGCTATGCAGTTGATCTTACTGATACTTCATGACTTTTTTAACATTTTCCAGCTGTGCGTTTTTCACAAACAACCAGAATCTTTCTTTTGACAAACGCGAGATAGGAATAGCAACAATAATTTTTCTCATACGTATTGAAAAGATTTAATAAATGTTCCAGATAAAGGAAAGGACTTAATATGGTAAATAAAGAGGGCACCTAAAGTGTATTCAATATGTGTAAGACCCCACGTTGAGTAACATGCCGGAGATACGAACAGCCTATGCATTCCCCTCAGGTATATCATCAAATCGTCTGACAATTTCGCGGCAGTGGACTTACCCATACACAGGAGCAAAGGATGATGTCAGGTTTACCCATAGATATTTTCCTTTTTAAAAACATGTATTTTAAAACTAAGTATTCACCATTATTTTAATTTTAGTGTCCGATAATGAGAGGTTAAACTTTGCCTGTGTTTAGGATTTCTTCCCGACATTCATTCTTACTAAAATTGCCATTTACAATCTTTTTTCATCAGTTGTTCTTAAAAATGTGAGTCGAATAAGTATAAATGACACCCTTTGTTATGTTGTAAATATTTTTCATTGTCTTGTTTTTTATTTTGAATTTTATTTTTTAGATTTATTTTGAAAAGAATTTATTTATATAGGTAGGTTCATTTATAGTGATGTTTCTTTTGTTTTAATAGCATAATTTCTGTTTAGTTAATACATTATTTGATAAAATAGTGTATTCTGCTCTTTTACCTATTATTTAATACTCCAAACATTTTAATTTTTCTATGTATTTTCTATAAGGCTGTTCTAAATGATTTTTCAAATTTCTCTTTTCCTAGTCACTTTGTTAATACACTTTTCTCCCACCACTGATGACGATCGTTTTATCATATCCTGAATCCTCCTATGTATTTGGGTCCTCATAACACCCTGCATTAAGAGAGAGGCTCTCATTTCTGCTTAACAAAGCCTTTATCATTAAGTGATATTTTAGAAGAAGGCAATTTAATATCTCTTGCAGCTGTACTGGAAGTTCACAATTAATATGATTTCCAAAATTAATGAATTAAAATTAAATTTTCTAAGGCCAAATATGCTTTGGAAGATGGTTACTCAGTTGTTTTATCTGCACAATCATTCTACTGATAGATTTTAATAAATCTAATAATAAAACTATTTCTTTTTTTAAAAAATTTTCCCATCTCATATGTTAGATATGTTACTCTTCCTTAAATGCTTTTATGTGTACAGATGAGTAAAATGTTACAGTTTAGAAAAAAATTGTTACAAAAAGAGGAAAGAAAATAAAGAGCTAAAATACTCTGTTGGAGAAACATTTGAGGCACCATTGCAATTGCTTTCAAATATTCCTCCATACACAGATAAACATACACAAGTAGGTTTCTACCATACTCTGTACTAAAGAGAGCTTCCCGTGGTTTAAGTTTTTAGTCAGTGAGTGTCATGAAATATTTTTTGTTTTATGGGCTTAATTCTGAATTCGCCAAGATTTCAATCAGATTATCTAAACAGAATTTTGTAACAGTTCATGTGAAATACCTTATTAAGAAATCCTAACATCCTACGTGTATTTAGGCTACGTGTATTTAGTGATTTTAACTGTCATACATTTTAAACTATCCTGCGGGCATTAAAATGTCTATCAGAGAAAACACAATGGTGGTTGCAGGTTTAGGACAAATATATATGTTTTTATCTCTGCCGATTTCTTTAATTTTTTCTCTTTATTTCCATTTTCTATTCTTTGTCTTCCTTGTATCATCTACTCCTATTTCCAGCAAAGTCACCATACAGTTGTACCACTTGTTCACTCCCGTAATGGACCCTCCCGTCTTCTCTGGAATTAGAGAAGTACTAAGTTCTTCTTATTACTAAGGAGCAGGTGTAGCCCTCACTCCCAGCTCCTGGCAGTCTGGTCCTCCATGCTGTGCCCCAGCCATCACCTCGGGTGCTAGGAATATCTACATACCCCTGTCTAAGCTTTGAGGCTCATTGCATCAAGAATGAGACCATGGAGGTTCTTCCCCTCCACCACTCTCATGTTACACGGGAGAAGGATGCGTCCCTGAGAGGGAAGTTCATGTGACTGGGCTCATCTCCACTGGGAAGCTCCAACACTGCTCCATCAGCCATTGAAATATTAAAATATCCCCATGGAAGCTCATATATACCCACTTCCTGGAGGCCCTGGTGCAACAGTGTCACCCCAGCTTCATAGACCCTTTGCACAGGTCATCAGACTTTCCAGCAGACAAACAACTAGAGGGAAGGAGTTAGAGGACCGCTCCAGAGCTGGGCTGTAAAGCGACCACAGACACCCATTGCCGCTGGTTGGTGCTGCTTGCACGTGCTCTTGTCGGACGGGTGCAGTATCACCTCTGTCTGGGGAACATTGCCAACGTACCTTCCCAGAAGACACCAGCACACTTCTATCACTCTCCTGCTGTATTTCTATTAGGTTTTATGTATAAATACACCTCTTTGAAAGTCTTTTTTTTTTTTTTTAGAATTTTAAAAATTTATTCATCTGACAGAGAAAGCAAGAGCAGGAGCACACAAGCAGGGGGAACAGCAGGCAGAGGGAGATGGAAATGCAGGCTCCCCGCTGAGCCAGGAGCCTGATGCAGGGCTTGATCCCAGGACTCCGGGATCATGACCTGAGCTGAAGGCAGATACTTAAGGACTAAGCCACCCAGGCAGCCCTGAAAGTCTTTTAAATCATAAACAGTGCTTCAGAGCTTAGGATACCATTTCAAAAATCCAGTATCATTTGATAAGAGTTTTTCCCCTCTCTCCTTTGGAAGGGGGGCTGTTCACCACTAAGTTGAATTACAAAGCATTTATGCAATCTTGGTGGTCATAGGTAAATTCATGCCTTTCATTCCACCAGTCAGTCACAGCGCTGGATTTGATAACTTTTAAGTCCACTCATTTATGATGTTTTATCTTTGTAATAGGAGTGCTATGACTCTTTTGCATTATATTGAGGTGACTTTTGCAGCATATGATACAATTAGAGATATAAAGCCACATGTATCAAATAGAATTGCACTTTGTGTATTAATGATTGTATGTGTATCTATGATATGCTCATATATGAAAAGCTATATCACTATATGACTGTAGAGATGTCAGTATAGGTAAGCGAATAATATGTTTGCATACTCCATTGTTTTATTAGTAACAAACTAAATATCTGTTCCCCTTGATCTTGTCCAGTCACACAAGCTACTAAAGGCAAATTCCCTCAACCTGGTGTGCTGACTTTATACATCACTCCTCCTGCAGCACCAACACCCATAAATGTTAAATATGCTCTTAGGGTAGAAACTATCCGATGGGGGAAAAAGGAAGAAGGCAAGGGAAGAAAGAAAGATACCCATGGACAGGTTTTTAAATAAGTATTTTACAAATACTTATTTACCCTGGGTTACAGTTTCCTATGTACGTAGCATTTTGTAATAGAGGATATAAATTCAATAACATGTACATTTTACTCTATGGAAAACTTTGGAAGACCTTTTTCTCCTCCAACGAACATTTCAATACTTATTTATATCTTAAATGCCTTTTGTCATCCCTCATCTTTTACTTGCCACTATCCAAGTTATTCCACTTTAAGTTTTTTATGCAACTATTTCCTACTCAGAAGGTTTTTATGAATTGATACATCTCTGTTATCATATGAGTCAAGAATTTATCTGAAATTCAAAACCAAATATACATTCCAAACTCTATAGGGAAAAATAAGAGTGATGACTACTTTTAAGATCATTGTATTTTCAAAGCCACATATTAGTGAATTAATAAAAGATGGTTGCATGCATTTAAATCTGAAAACGTTTCCGAATTATATCCTTACTATATTTATTTTTTTAAAAGATTTTATTTATTTATTTGACAGACAGAGATCACAAGTAGGCAGAGAAGCAGGCAGAGAAGAAGCAGGCTCCCTGCTGAACAGAGAGCCCGATGCGGGGCTCGATCCCTGAGATCACGATCTGAGCCAAAGGCAGAGGCTTTAACCCACTGAGCCATCCAGAGGCCCCTATCTCCATACTTTTAAATCTCAAGATGTTTCTGATTTATCTCCATCTCTATGAGTCAGAGGAAATCTTTGAAAATTTTGTTAAGCTGTCTGTGAATGTCAGGTGTGTGGCAATACACAGTCCAGATACTAGAAAAGCCATGATTTTGTTCTCTTCTATAGTGAAAATTCAGTTATTAATGCAGTGTAATTATTTGCATTATATTGAGGTGACTTTTGCAGATTTTTTAAAGTTTTCCCATAAAGCTAAATTAATAAATCAGAAGAAACCTTTGTCATAGTAAGAGTATCCATTTTGAGTTCAGAAAGCATTGGTAACTGATCAAGAGGGATACTATGTAGACGTTCTTGTGTATGGGGTTGTCTGGAGACCTGATTTCCTATTTTTTTCTTCCCCTGCCAGCTGAGGGAGCCTGTGGAGGGACCCTGCGGGGAACCAGCAGCACCATCTCCAGCCCCCACTTCCCCTCGGAATATGGGAACAACGCCGACTGCACCTGGACCATCCTGGCCGAGCCAGGGGACACCATCGCCTTAGTCTTCACTGACTTTCAACTAGAGGAAGGGTACGACTTCTTAGAGATCAGTGGAACAGAAGCACCATCCATATGGTAAGTTTTGGGGAAGCAATGTCTTTCCCCAGATCCAACAAGAGGCTTTATAAGATGGCTTTCTTTGGACATTCATTGGCAAACGTAAGTGGTTCTTTTCTTGCTTTGCTATTTGGACCACTAACAAGGTCATCTATATTGTAACTGATCTCAAAGTGTCCAAGATGTCTTTGGACTGGTCTTTGGAGCTGGAGAAGTTATCTGCACACGGGCATGGGTACTTAACATGCCCTCGTTTGGGACTCTTGTAAAGCAACCCAGAGATGGTAACTAAGTCAGCTAACTTGGTTTTTTTGGATTTGTTCTGGAGCTGAGTCAATGTAAGCAGATATTTTTAGACGATGGCCATTTGGAAATGTCATGTTACCAATCGTGTGTCTGCTCTGCTGCAGTCAGAGGAGAGCATATTAATTTTCCTTCCTGAAGACGCTGCACCTGGGAGGGTCAGAGGCAAACCATAAATACTGATCCAACAGAGATATAAAATTAGTCGACTGAGGATCACTTCTCTGGCATGTGTGCTAGTGGAGACAGAAGAAAAGTGAATCTAATCAATTACAGTGGATTTAGGTCCAGGTCTGGGTTGTAAGAACAGCATTAGTTGTGCCCGTAAATGCAGTGGAAGAGGGGAAATTCAGAGAATAGATGTTTGAAGACTTTATGTCTCAAATTCAGTTATTTGTTGTGATTTGAATTGGCCTTAATTATTTCATTCTTTAGTATTTAAAAAAGTTTATTAATTCTCTACTTCAGATCTTGAGTGGTGAGCTAATTTGAATATGTGGGTATTTCAACTAGGGTGTAATTCAGAGGAGATGTTGGCCATACATGCCTTGGTAGAGGAGAATATGAATTGAGTGATCGTGAATATTTTGATGGGTCAGAGTTTGCTTTTCAGGATAAAGCTAAAGTATGAAAAACCATCAACCATGAAACATGTTATAAAATTAGACCATCTGTTTTAAACCAGTTATTGAAATGGAAATTTACTTTCTGAGGCTCAAGACCCAAAGCAGAGGTTCATATTAATGGATGAAACATTTTCCGTACTTTAGTTATGCCGTGATTATATTAGATGTTCCCTCAAGAGAAAAATAGTCACAGCCTCTCTTAGCTTTGTTTACATTTGATTCATCTGAAACGATACTCTAAAGCTGAACAAGTTACCTGTTTGTTTGTTTTGTGTTACACAGTTTTAACCGCTCAAGAATGTGTTGATCATATCTGACTCACTTTGTGTAACATCAGCGTTAATGGAAACAAGTTGTGAACCTAAAGCTGGATTCCCTGGGTTCTCCTCTGAGCTTGGCCAAGTTCTGCCTTATGACCTTGGACAGATCACATAATGGTTTATATGACATAGGGGGACTATTAAATCAACTTTTGAGTTCATTCGTTAAATATCTATTAATTCCATATTCTCCATCTATCATTATAAGAGATTCAGTGATTTAAGCATTTAAAATTGCCTTGTTTTGGTTTTCAGAAATTCAGTGCAATATAAAATATATGGTGAGTGATTCTCAGAAACTATATGATTAGTGGAAAAGGTCTTATTTATGAGAGATTCTAGAGATCGTGGGCATGGACCACCCATCTTGCTGCTAAGGTGTGAGGTCAGGAAAGAGAGGAGAAAAGTGAGGCATCTTTGGCAATGATTTTAGAACTCATGGTTGGGACAGCTGTTGCCAAACAGTCCTCGTTTATGTAAGGGAGGAAACGTGAATGTGCAGATGTCCATACCAAGGTCTGAAATAAAAATAGGGCGTGTGAAATCAGAAGGAGGCACAACTCTCCAAAAGGGCTTCTGGCTCATGCAAACTCATTGTGACTGAGAGGCAAAAGCGTTCATTTCATTTGTTTTCATAAAAGACGGCAGCAGGAGCTGGAGTGTTGTGACTTGTTGCTCATTTCTTCTTTGCTTATCCCTACTGATTTCTCTCACACTCTCTCCTCTCTCTCTGTGTGTTCCCCGCTTCTTGTCCCAGCCACTTCAATATCAGACTCAGAAAAGTGTGTGTGGATGGGGTCAGAGGTGAACTAAATTGAATTCTGTCTGAAATGTCAGATGGGGCCACTGATTCCTGTGGAGCCTGAGAGCAACATTTCCAAAGCATTGTCAGAGTGAGAATTGGTGTAGCGGCCAGGAGATTGGCCCATCTTTTGGGGTCTGGATTCGGGCTAGAAAGCATTTTCTAGCTCTCTGAAATATATCTAGGTATTTGCCAGGGCACCAAGATTGATGATCTGTGTACAAATTGGGGACAAATAAATAATAATCGGCAGTCGTTGGGAAAGTTCTTGGTGGGAACTTGGACCCAGTCTGTGTTCCTTCTGGTCCAACAAATGGGGTGGCCCATTGGCTCAACGTGCTCTTTCTCTCAGCGGCTATTGTTAGAGTTGCATTCATAACTGTATTCATATGATGATTTGTATTGTCCTAGTGGCTTGGCAGAAAAGTCCTGGGGGTACTTGTTAGTATTCTCTAGCTTTGACGGATGAAGGAGCTGAGAGCAGAGCTCAAGCCCTCTGACTCCAAGTTACATTTCCTCTCACTCCACTGCAGCCCCTGTAATAGGACAACATGGGTCTGGACTCAGTGCTGGTTTGCAGAATTACATTTTCTCTATGTCAGGACCTTAGGTTGTATCCTAAAGCCTTGAACAGGTTACTACCACAGGGGACAAGAACCGACTGAGAGGCAAGTTCACACTCGTGCTGCATAAGTACAGGGTCACTGCAGACAGGACGTTCTGGGGTGACATTTGGCGTTGATCATAATTATAAACGGACTATCCTGACATGGCCTTGGAACCACTCTTCAGCGGAGCTCTCATCTTTCAGTTACTCGTCAGTGGAGGCTACAGAGGAAAACTTGGGTTTCCTGAAGCACTACTAAAGCAGAGGAACACATTAGGAATACAAAAGAGCCACTTGAAGTACCCTTTTAAGATTGATACAAATGCATAATATGGCTTATCCTAAAAAAAAAGACTATTATTTTACTGTAATTTGAGACTGAAAGTCTCTGAAATGTTTAATGGTTCAGACTGGCATATTTAGAAGAAGTATTATCTCTACCATTGAAGGAAGATCCCAAGGATAGTGTGCGTCTGCAGGTGTGTGTGTCCCCCTGGAGTGCAAGGTCACAGAGCAGAGACAGTCGGTCAGCGTGGAAGGCTGAGCGTGCAGCGCACTGACACATATGATTTTCCAATCATCTGTTTTTAAAAGACATAAATTACCAGCAAGGGCACTCTCAGAAGAAGCTGCTTGGAAAATGGTTAAGAACAATAATAGGATTAGCCTTATTTTCATTGAATTCGGAGTGAAATTACCAACTCAGCTGTGTTTTATGTAAGGGTTGCCATGACTACCTTGGAGCAGTCTAAATGTGGTGAATGATGTCACGAGCCACGATTATTCATATATTAAATGTGGAGGGTGTGGGAGTCAAACCTAATCCACTATACATGTGTTAGATAAGCCTGATTATTATTGTTATTATTATTATTATTATATTTATTTTTATTAGAGTCTAATTGTATATAGGCTCGTTTTTTATCAATATCCTACTTTATCAGAGAGCTGCCATTTCTAATTCTCTTTGCAACATGGTCTAGTAATTATGATTTTTCTTGCAATTATAAACGTGGTTAGCAGTGAAGCTTGCCAAGTATTCTTTCTTTCTGAAGTGATTCGATGGCATAGTGTATAGCTCCTAACTCTGGAAATACCAAGAAGAAAGAAAATGGATTTTATTTCTGAGTTAACCTACGATGGTTTCTAAATTAGGACATGGTGGTTAAAGGGACTAGGGACAGATTGTCTTGCCAGGACACAACTAAGGGAGCCTTTACTATCTTTCAAGTAGGCACACGTGTCATGAGAGTAATTTATGCGTGCGCATGGATGACAGAGCATGTAAGGTGGAGAAGGAAAGGAAGGAAAGAAAAGCAAACCCATTTAAGGAGCATCCCAAAACCTGGTGAAATGCATCCGTTCCTCCAGAATCTGCAATGACTGAGCCATAGGACATTAAAATAAAACCCATGTGCCTTCTTGTGTATTTCGAGCCTTGCCGTAGCACGTGCAGCCTGCCCTGCGTCCTGCCACGCCCCACCCATGCATCCTGCAGACTGCCTCTCTGAACACATCCCTGTTTCTCATTAGCACATATTTGTGTCCCTGGCCCATGTGCTCAGGTATGCACGTCCACGTGGAAATCCTGCACCAGCGCACAGATCCACATTCAATTAATTTAGTGCTTAGTGTGCCCCATGGATGGCCTCCCCCCTAACGGAGTCCCAGCACTGGACCAGTTTGTGGGATCTCCTCCCCCGGAAGATGTCCTTGGAGATAAGGCGAGGCTGCTTCTGGGCTGCTTTGGGTTAGACCTGCCTCATTCTATCACTAGAACATCTGTTACTTTAGGATTCTTTTAAGGTTTCGGTCCAAATATTCACTAACCAGTGTATCTCTACCCTGTTGCCTATCTGATTTGTGCAAGATTAGTCTTGAGGGAACCCAAAAAAGTTTCGTAACTGCACTTTGTTCCCATTAACAACGCATAATCTCACTATTAAATCAATCTAATCAGTGACTTGCTGAAGCCAAAACAGAACTTCAAAGACACTGGAGCCGCTGAGTGAGCTTCAAAGAACCCTAGAAGGGTCAATTAACACCTACAATGTTTATCCAACTTGTCATTTAATTGAGAAGTGACTTGGTGCATATTTAATTGCTAATGAGCAGGATTATGGAGGCTACACAGAGTGACATTTTCTGGAAGGCACTTTGCACTCCCCTGCCCAAGGTAGAAGAAAAGGAAGGACCCTTCCCCTCTCTCCTTATTTTGTTTTTTAACTGTTCATTTTGAAATCATTTCACAGAGCATTTGTAAAGCTAGCTCAGAGGGTTGTTGTATACCCTGAGCCAGCCTCCTCCGACACTAACGTCTTACAAAACCCTAGTATAATTATAAGAAATTCATTCCGGTA